GGCCACACGAAGTGGCTTTTCGTTGTTTCTGGAGGAGCCCCTAGGGTAGAGATTCAATCTCCTGGCTCCGCCAATTGGGGTTTGGCCAGGAGACGTCATAGACGCCTGTCCCCCTGGGGCCTCCGGCCCAAGCTTATTAGTTATTTTTTTTATGCGTGGTTTCATGGTAAAAATGTTAAAGGTGGAGGGGTTACCAGCCCCTCGCACCCGTCCAGAGCCCCCGTTTATCCACTGTGGTGGTCACAGACGCCATGAGAGGAGGGGCCAATCGGAATTGGCCCTCCCCCCCCAGCACTGTCCGCGACAGAGTTTCCCGTCCGGCACCGCGAGGAGGTAGTAGGTTGTTTTGCCGGAACACGCACACAGTACACACGCACAGTGCACAATGCCCGTCCCTACAAGTGGTCGTTGTTAAAGAAAAACGATTGAGCGTTCACTCGGAGTGAGGCTCAAACGGGCACTTATCAGCTGTAAGAGGGAGAGAGAATAAATACCAGTTGTCAAATTAAATTAATAAGCGAGTTTTTGTTTAAATTAACATCTCGCTTACCCGCCCTTTTGGTGCGCGTTGTGTAGAGTCGTCGTTCATTGCCAAAGTCGCGAGGTAGCCGTTAATTTATCAGGTTGTGGTCTAATTTTGATTTAAAGCTTTCGTGACTGCAGGGATTCATATTCTTGGTTCTTTCGGTAAAGTCACGTAGAAGGGAAACAAAATAAAAATATAAAACAATAAAATTCTCACGACAAGAACATTTTTTTGCTGTGGTTTTCACACCTGATGATGACTGCTTGTGTTGCAGTCGAAACGTCGTGAGAATTTTATCGTTTTATATTTTTCTTATTTTATTGTTTCCCTTCTACGTGCCTTTACCGAAAGAACCAAGAATATAGGTTGTGGTCTGTTCAGACAGGCGCCTGGTGATGGAAAACAAGGGTGGAAATGCAAGAAAGGGCATGAAATAACAGAACCGTGCATGTACACACCAAAGTATTATACCGTGTAAAAAAAAGTTAAGCAGATGCGTTGGCATTCCACACAAGTGAAACGAAAAAGGGCTTTTGACCGAATTGGGTTTCGGAAAATTGAGCGAAGGTCTTATGAGACATTCACGATGAATCGCCGGCTGTCTTGACCTTCGCAGTTGATTGAATTCTTTTTTTTTGCTATCGTAATTTCTGGCGGAATTAAAAGATTTACGGCGAGTCGATTGCGGTCTTGATTAAACAATTTCTAGATTTTATGCTTTGTATGCGAAAGAGCAATATAAAATGTAAACGTTACATCACATTTGTTTGAAAGCACCAAACCCTGGCAATAAAACTTGGCAATCACCGTGCGATTAAACTGCGGTCAGCAATGCACTGCACGAAAACTCGTTACGTAAATTAGTTTTTGAATTAAAAAAATTTTCCCAGCCCATCCTCGATGGAGACAAAAACGCCAATTATCACTCATATCGGATGAGTGATAATTGGCGAACCATTACTTATAAAGTGCGTAAGGCGCGCCATCTAGTTTTCGTGCCATTTAGATTTTGTAACATCCAGTTTTTGTGCCAATTAGATTTGGACCAGAGTTCACAGCTGATCAAGGGGTGGGTCTCCATTGCCATCCAAAACGGATCCCCAGCTTGATGTGAAGCTCATTATTATTTTGATTTAAAGCTTTCGTGACTGCAGGGATTCATATTCTTGGTTCTTTCGGTAAAGTCACGTAGAGGGGAAGCAATAAAATAATACAAATATATTTTTATTATTATTATGATGATTCCGCATGTTTACCCAGAAAAGCCTCACTGAGCCCTCAGGAGGTGGTCTGCAGGCAGGAGATGACGATCTCTCTGTCTATAATGATCCCAATCGAGTAGCTTGTGGTATGCTTCTTCGAATTTGACAAAATTTGGACCACCGGCACATGACGGCCTACACTTGCGAATGACGTCACGGGATCTATGAGGTCCACTGTGAAGCAGACGGGTGCGTAGCATCATCGCGGTTGTTACACCCGTAGTTATAATGAGGGCGCCGAGGTGGCAAGATGTTAACTATCTCGCCTGGTATACAGGAGTCCGCGTGTTTTATCTCAACCCTGATACTTGTATATTTGGAGTTTGCGTGTTCTCCCCGTGGTCGCATGGATTTTTCTCCGGGTCCTTCGGTTTTTTTCTCCACATTTCGAATCGGTATCCATTTTAGAGTAGTTTGGCTGCTGTACATTCCCACTTCGTTGAGCTATCATTTGTGATAGTCAGGTCGCTTCTGAAAAAGAGCTATACAGCTCGGTGGGCCTTGCCTGGTAAAATAAAAAATAAATCGGGGTGTCCGCGAGATTCGAATCGCGAACCTCTGCAACGAGCAGCGAACTCACTCACCCTGAGCCACAGCACCGCCCGAGATTGTCACGGTGGAGTGATTAATGGATTAATCGATCCCAATACAACGCCGATTCTTACGATCCCAATACATGCATCAAATTTTCATATAAGTATTCACCTTTTTAAAAAATACATATTCGTTGTATGTAATGGGTGTACATGAGCACCTCCGACCACTAGATGCTCCGAACATTCACAGAATATCTTGAAAACGAAAAGATGATTATTAATTTGACCGAATCGTGACCTTGGATCGCGGAAAATTGCTCAAAGAATTTATGCGGTGTCCAATCCGAATTTTTTTCCGGTCTTTCGCCCCAAAACGTTGCTGCAAATTTACCCTCTAGCCCCGCCTCCACTCCCGCTCTAAACAACCAACTCGGCAGATGTACAATGGGGCACCGCGCGGCTTTGCTACACGATGCATTGTGACAGTTGCTCGCGAATGTTGAAAGATTTATCCCCGTGCACGGGCTAATGAGTGTGATGCATTAGTCATCGCTGCAGCACACAGAGTGCTGCTGGGTTTACTGGGGGCGGCGGGAGGGGGATGGTGCGGTGGGGGCGCTCGGAGGGGCCCGCCGGTGGCTGTCGGGGAGGACTGGGGAATTTGGTGGCGCTCTGCTCGCAGGCGTCAGACGAATTATTACCACGCTTGAATGAGAGAGACGGAATGTGAGAACCGTAGCCTCTGCAAACCGATCTTGTGCGCCGTTCGGCTCGGCGCGGTGTGCGTTTTGCGGAGGACGCTGGCGCGGGTTGTTAGCGGTTTAACGATACCGGAGTTTTCAATGCCGAGCTCGACGGATTATTTACAGAGTAGGGGTTGCACCACACGATATTGCAGCTGATTAATAAAAGGGGTTGTTTGGCGGTTCTGCGGTGGCAGTCGTGCACAAGCATGAATAACAGAGGTTGATCTCTCTGTATGAAAGAGGGACCGTTGCCCCAGATGTCACCTATTATATATACAGTCCAGTATTTCCTTATAGGGCAGTGCTATTGACGAATGTTTTGAGTTTTTTCGTCGTTTTATCTGTTCGCTGACATTAAAACATTGCTCGTGAAACAATAGGTCATCGGCTGCTGTCTGGGCACGCAGCCGTCGCGTTATGGTCACCACAGCTGGACTCGCGATCCAGAGGTCACCGGTTCAACTCAATCTCCCAGCGCGTCAGTTTACACCATGGCCCGAGCAGGCTCTGTCCACCCAGCAGCGCACACGGTCACACCACGGCGATTCGTATCGGCAGGCCGCAAGGCGGTGGGGTGAATTGTGGGTAACTCCCACCTCTTACAAGATGCTTGCTCGGCGTTATCAGAGTAAGCGAACTACTATTTGGAGGGGCTGCCTACAGTGCCTTCTTGTGGGGCTCTTCATCCGGCAGTGTCTTGGAACTAGCAATTGCAGGGCTGCATTTTTACCTTTTTTACGTTTGTACGTAAAATTAATCCATGTTTGGTATGTTTTTTTTATGCATTTGCAGAATTGCCTCGCTCGTTGTTGAATGCGCGTGGTCCAGACTGATGGCGTGCGTGTGTGTGTGTGGAGGCCGGTAGTGCACCGGTTAGCACACTGCCCTGTGAACCCGGTGACCCGAGTTGGATTCCTGGCTCATGGCCACCAACATCAGACACCGGTGACGATTATCTGAATCGGTCCTGGGCCTCCCCGAGGTCGACTCAGCCTCAAATGAGTACCTGTTTAGAAGTGTTTAAATCGCCACTGGGGAGATAAAAGTGACCGGGTGTGGAGACGGCCACCCACCCCCTCGTGTGTGCCGTGCCGGCCTTCACAGGTGCTCGCGAACAGCACTTGCCCCAAAAGTCTGTTCAGGCTATACGGGGTATCTTTGTCTTGTTATGGTCCGCAAGTAAATCCTGGTAGCCTAAAATGTGCTGTCGGAAATGAAGGGTAGGAAAATTTTGGTCCAAAGCCTCAAAAAGAATGATACCACAATTACATGGAATACTATGTCATTCTGTCCAATTGCATTCTCTACCACCGAGGATTGAGTTGTGAGCCGGCAGACATTTTCGTAAAATATTCCAGATGTGAAAATAACAACCATTTTTGAAGCCTATATATTTACACACGTGGGTCTCAGTTTTGGTATTGTCACTCTCTAACATTCTTGTCTTTTTTTTTTACAAATCAAAAAGCACATCTCATTGCGTGTGTCCTGACCTATATATATAAACATAAAAAAACATGGAAGATTCCAATATATGAAGGCCTCCCAATGCCGAGTTGGTCATGGGGGATCTTTTGACCATACTTCACCACGCTGGGCAGTGCAGATTGTTGAAGGAAGGGGAGAGCAGTACCGGTTCTGAAATGACTTGCCAGTGGTGTTAGCCGCGGTCAGAATTTGAACTCGGGTCATGCCAACCCCACTGCTACCGCCGCTCCACTCCAATTCAACAAATACACAAACATCCAACCGCTCTGTTATACAACATCGTCGTCAGCGGGTCTGTGCACGCGTGCACACACACGCACGCACGCGCGTCATCGTTGTTGCCGCTCTTTTTTGTTTTTGCATCTTTCTCATATGCAGCCGTGTAGAAAAATGCTCCCCGACACGGCTGTAATGCGACTCGAATTGATTTACTGTGTTTCAGCCGGTGCCCCAAGTCACTACGCTGCGGCTCGGCCTCTTATCGCGGCCTTGTCAGTCCCACTGTTCCTGCGGGGGAGCGATACGACAGGTATTAGCGCGAAGGCGGCGGCCCCATCTCCCCCCCCCCCCACCCCCCGTGTGTCTCCCTCCTCCCTCGGCAGTAGTGCATGTGGTGGTTTTTTTGTTGTTGTTGTTGCCGCCGCTGCTGCTACCGCTGGGAACGCGTCCCAAATCGTCAGAATTTTTTTTTGGCGGGGGGGGGGGGGGGGGGGGGGCGGGCGAGCGGTGCTGTGTCCCCGAGCTTTATTCATGGGCGGCGTTCCGGTGACATCAACCGGTTTTTATTTTTTCCGAGGCAGCTGTCGCGTCAAGCGCGTGACGTTTTTATATCTAAATTAATTGACTACTCCCCCCCACGCCCTCAAACGACAATCTACGCGCAATTGCGAGCACGCTGAACTCGCGAGACAGAGCTCGCCGCTTAGATCTCCCGGCGCGGCAGTCGAAGCCACGGGGCGAGTTTCTTTCATCCGCCGGCCCCATCCTGGCCCACCGCCTCTGTCCAGCCAGCGGTGTGAAATGGGTTCACCTCGGCCAGTTGATCGTAGGCAGGTCCCGCACCTCCGATTTGGCACGGTTGGCAACGTACGGTGTGAAAGAAGTTGAACATCGGTTTAAGACGTAGGCTTTTCGCGACCAATATTATTCACAATAGAAGTTTTTTTCGTCGGTTAGATCGCGTAATATAAATGTGTCGTTCAACCCGCCACCACCCGACACAGCCTATTAGTAAGGGTTGTCACGTCAACAAAACATGCCAATAAGTTACTAGTTTGGCACACCGATGTGTTGCAGAGTAAACCCACAACATTTACAATTCGAGTAACGTGACGTATCGCCGGCAATTACAACCAGCCACATCAGGCGACCGCCAAAATTTTGGAGAAATCCTGTTTCGTTCTTTGATAGAGGGATACATGTGATGTCATCAGCTCTGTAGCCAATCAGGTGCAAACACCAGAGGAGGGGTTAATGTATTAATATAAATTACAATGGTTATCTATTATTGGTTGGGTTATTTACATTGAATCAACATACATAATGTACTTTTTTTTACGTACATGCATGGTGGCGGACGTAACGCACGGATACTCTCACCTCATTCAAGACCATGTGGCCAGCATGGAAGAGCAGGAGCCACACATTCTGTAGGGTGGCTGTCTGGAGCTGGCCCCTTATTGGGGGGGGCTGCCTTCGCCAGCCGTGGCGTGAGAAAGTAATTTCAGGCCTGCACCTTTACTTCCACCGATTTAGAGCTCGAATGCAGCTTGAAATGTTTGAAATGTTTTAACTCCAGCATCCTTTTCTAGACGACGCATAGAAATTGTCGCTGCGGTGGTGGTGGGTGGGTGGGGGTTCCCAATTTAAGAGGAGTTGACTGGCTCGGGTAGATATGCGACAGGGAGGAGACGTCTTGGTGTTTGTCATGAATGGAGTTTGGAGGAGGTAGATGCCCATCCTCCTCCATCTTCCTCCAAACTCCATCCGAATTCCAGTCTGGGGCAGGAAGACTGTGAGTACGAAGTTGAACAGGACACAAATTCGGCAGACAACAAATTGGAAGCGAGTTCCAGACGCAAGGGAAGCCGAGGACAAGCAGCAACTGTTCCATTGAGCAAATAGAATGTCGGCACTGTACTGGTGGTGCGGCTGAGCGCGATTGTTTATTCACACCTCCGTCTTCTTTATGCATTCATGCTTGCATTGCATAATATTGGCCATTCACTTGGATTGTTCATTCATTCAGTCGCCCACGAGTGCGTTTTAGCGAAATCCTCCGCTCTGATTTGATGTGCGGAGAGCGCTGGCGGGGGAAATCCCTCAATGTTATCATATCCGTGCAAAGCCGCTCCTTATATCCGCACGTGTAAACACGGACAACGGGATACATTTTATTCCACTTCTGTGTCATTTCTCTTTTCCCCCTATGAAGGCTCAGATAAGCGCCACTATGGCAAGATTTGAACTACCTCGGCTGGTATGCAGGAGGTCTTGGGTTCAATCCCAACCCCGACGCCTGTATGTTTGGAGTTTGCACTTTCTCCCTGTGGTCGTGTGGATTTTTCCCTGCACATTTAAAGACATGCTTTCAGAGCATGCTATACATTTCCACATGATAAGCCACTTTTGTTGAGCTATTATTTGTGGTCAGGTCGCTTCTGAAAAAGAGCTATACAGCTCAGTGGGCCCTTATCTGGTAAAATGAAAACATAGTTTAGTTTATAGTTTAGTTTAGATAGAAGGAAGAATTGGTGCAAGGATAATCTGAGTCTTGCAACGGTCGATATAAGGTGTGTGCATGATAAGAAGAACGGACGATAGACAGATACTGCAATTCACATTCGTGACGTCTGTTTACGTCTGCCCCCAGTATCCGCCAGTGCTTCTTTCTGATCTATGCGTCGGCACGCGCATTTTTTGTTATCGAACCAACATCAACGATCACGTCAGAAGGCGCACGTACATACACGGGGCAACGTTAGCATATCAGGGGGATAGTACCTTCTGGGTTGACCTTCCTTACTTGAACGGGAGCTAGCTTACGGTGTAAAAGGTTAATTGTTTAGCCCAGGGGAAGAGAGGGGGGGGGGGGCGATGGCAGGCATTTTGTAAAAATTGCATTCACACATTCGTACACTTAATACGTTCAGCCGCCCTCTCCCACTCGTTTATTTCACCCGTGTGTTTTTAACGTTGGGTAATGCTTGAGCAAAAACACCACCGCCTCCGCCGGCCATTATTGGTCCACCGACCCGTCATGTGCGTGACGTTTTGCGTGCTCGTAACGAGGACGTACCGGCGTCGCATCTCGTTGGTGTGGACGCACGGCCGCTGTGCTTTTCTCTACGCACAGAGCGAGAGACAGAGAAAGCGGGAGAATGGTTTGTCGTCCCAATACCCCAACTCCTCCGAGGGACGGACGGACTCGACTTCTGTTCACTTAAACTCTTACCAGGGCCGGTCTTTTTATTGTGTTAATTCCTTTGTCGTTGGCCCTGTAACCATGGGAGAGGACTGAACTGCACATATGATTGTTTGCTGTAATATATATTTTTATCGCTCCTTGTCATACCTGGATCTTGGTTCCACATCGTGGCCTTTTGGAACATTTGAATTCGAATTTAACCTGTTTGGTGTTCGTTGCCTGCGGGGGCAGCGGTTCACACATCGCTTATGAACCCAGCGACCCAAGCTTGATCCCGGGCTCACAGCTAACATCAATGGCCTCTCCTAGGGCGACTCAGCCTCAAATCAGCACCTGGTGTGGTGTGTAAACTTCAGCAGTGTGGAGACGAAAGGCGTCACACGAGTGCCAAGTGATATCTGAACCCGGTCTGAGACATCCCTCCCCACTTGGGTCAACGCAGCCGAAAGTGAGTGCACCGTCAACACCATCGCACGGAGGGGGTAGGAGAGACAAAGATGGCTGGGCTCATGTGAATGGTCCTGGCGCCACACCCCTTGTCCCCCCCCCCCCCGTGCGTGCCTTAATAGGTTCTCACTAACCGACTATTTGCCCCAGTAGTCTAAACAAGTTTCAAAATGGGGACCTTTGTCTTTTGTGCGAGCGCGTGCGATTGTGTGCACGCAAGCTCGCGTGCGATTGTGTGCACGCAGGCCCACGTGGGATTGTGCGCACGCAGTCGCGTGTGCACGCAGGCGCGTGTGCGATTGTGTGCACGCAGGCGCGTGTGCGATTGTTTGTTTATGGCAGGCAGTCTGTAAAACCTGAGGACAGCAAAGCGAATGGTAACAAGACTTCATTATCCGGCAATAAACAGCGGCAGCAGCAGCCTCGGCCCAGCACCCTCGGCTGAAAAGACCCTTGGCAAAAATAAACAAACATTCTTTGGCGAAAAACACACAAATGGATACTTGTGTTTTTTTACCCATAGACCCACAACCGTACAGCTTTAGTGTTCACGCAGGGCAATGTTTGGTTTGGCTGATGGCATTCGTGTTGGTCTAGTGATTTACAATGCCCCCCTCCCCTATCCCCCATCCCCCCAATGGTGATTTGATGAATTGTCGTGACGCAAGGTCACGATTTGATACAAATGTGCGCTGTTTTTGGTTGTAACGTTGTGGTGAATTGCTATGGCCGCTCATGGCTGCAGGGGTCACGTGAACCGATTACAGACAAGTTGCATTACATAGTTGCATGTAATGCAGCATTGAGATGTTGTGTCAAGCGCACTCCGTACTAAAAGTATCCTTGCCTGTAAGCATCGGTTAATTCTTCATCACATGGATGCTGCTTGTGATGAGCCAGTGCTGTGGATGAGATGCACTCCCATAAGGTCGTACCGCCGGTGGTTTATCTAAAAAAAAGTCGTGCCGCCGGTGGTTTATCTAAAAAAAAATCGTACCGCCGGTGGTTTATCTAAAAAAAAGTGCTTTTTTTGTTTTGTGGAGAGACAAATACGGGAAAGAGGCATGATTTTTGTGAGATGCACTCCCATAAGGTCGTACCGCCGGTGGTTTATCTAAAAAAAAGTACTTTTTTTGTTTTGTGGAGAGACAAATATGGGAAAGAGGCATGATTTTTGTCATTAACCTTCTCCACCGCTATCCTTAATGATTATTTCATCATTAGATCTCCTTTGCCAGTACCAAAATATAAGAATAGGGTTTTTCCCCTTTTTTCTGCCAACAAAACTGAAACCTTTTTACGAGAAATCACGTCTGCATTAACCACAATACTTGTCAAAATGCAAACAAAAAACACACTGATAATATATGCATCGTCCTTGAAACTGATTGGTCCACACCAGAGACAGCTTTCTTTTGAGCCTCGTCTCATGTTTTAAACGACATGCAGGATATCGTCGGCATTGTCCACTTCTGTGATGAAGGCCTCCTCCACGCCATTGGCATCTCCCTCACCATCCATCTCCGCCCCTGCACACGACCTGATTCCGCCACGCCATCTCCGCTGGCGTGCTCCCGCTCAGATGCTTTTCCTCCACCTCCAGCTGCCATTCCACCGCCGGTCTCATCCTTCGGCCATTATCCTGTCCGGCAACGGTGCCCCTCTCTACCCACGCCAATTTTCCTTGTCTCTGTTCTCAATAACTGCGTCTCGGCCACGATTGATTTGGATATCATTTCGCCACCGGTGATCCGTGAGCCGGGGGAAATAGAACCTCTGCTTTGGCGGGCTTCACGGCGCAGGTGCGATAACTGCCGCGCGACTGGACCCGTCCCGATTTGCACTTGCATCCCATTTTTCACTCCCCTCCCCTCCCCTCCCCTCTCCCCACCGGCAAATAATTTGTTTGTTTATCGACATCGCCATCTGCAATAATACAGCCCAGCGGGCAGGGCACAGTGGTAGCGCGCGGAAGAAGCTGTCACCCCAGCTAAGTAGGGCTTTGCCGCGGTTGTTGTGCTGCTGCTGCTGCTGCGACAGCCGGGGTCATTAATATTCCACGCGCCGCCCCGATTTTTTGGACGAGGCAGCCGCCCCTATTCGGAGGCCCTTGGTGATGATGGGTCACAAGCCAATGCTGCCGCAGCCTCCTCATTCTCGAGAAGCTGTAATTTTGTTTTGGCTCCTTTAAAGCTTTGAGAGCTCTGACGTGGGGTGGGGGCGGGGGGCAGTGAGTGGAAAATCAGATGAAAGAGAGGAAAGTCCTTTTTCTTTCTTTGTCATTTGGGTCTTGGCGCACGCTTGCAATACTGATGGCGGGGCGTAGCGGTGGAGTGCGTGTGCAACCGCAGATCGACAATGTGACACTTAGCGTGACAATATCGTCATCGGGCTGGCAAGCCTCGAAACACCTCGGGCGAACGTCAACAGAAACGCCTCTATTCATAGCACTTCTGTGCGCTACAATAAAATCTCATTATCGGTGTTTGCTTTTTAAAATGCGGTGGCCCTGGGCCACGAGCGGAAAAGTCCACATTCCCATGGCAGTGGACAGTGTGTCCGTATGACTGCAGATGTTTGTTTCCTACAAAGTTATACACTCTTTTATCAACCTCAGATGGATGATGGGCTTTCGATCAATGTTGTCACCTATTCATTGTTATTATTATTATTCTGTGGGAATAATGGCTATCGTTATTACTCTCATTACCACGGTTGGTAACATTTATGCGATCTTGGCTTCTGCTGTAATAACCATAATCGCTTCCCGCTGTCATGGCCTCAACGCAGTCGTCAATAACGCTGCCCCTGAAAGGAAAATGAGATTGCTATGAAGAAAGGGCCATTGCCTGAAACGTCACCTATTGTTTTATCATTCCTGTTAGGGCCGCAGTGTTATTGGCGAATGTGTTGGTCAAAGTGTTGTTACGTGTGCTTCTGCATCACTGCCAATGTAGCATCTTGATTGTTTCTTTCAATAAATTCAATTTGAGTGTCTCCACTGCTCCGTTCTTAGCCAAAGGGATTCTATGATAAGTAGCAAAATGCTACAACTGGGAACACCGTCATGGTCCTGTCGCTCAGCTGGGCAGCGTACACAACCCTTTGAGAGTTCCCCCCCCCCCCCATCCAGTCCTTTCACTGTGAAGTGCCAACTCCCTCAACGTAGTTAGCTCAATGCACTACCGACCTGGCGAGCCGAGTTCGACCCCGTTCACAGCTAACATCAACGCCGGCACTGCCCACTGTGGTGAAGTACGCTCAAATAACCTCCACGGCTGACCTGGCGTGGGTAGAGGCCTTCATCCAGCAGTGGGTTGACAAAGGAATTTTTTAAGACTCGGTGAGGCTTTCCTAAGTTAGCAAAAGGGCATTATTATCGTCATCACATATCGTGGGTTCTTGTCATTCAAACGCATGCAAGGATATTATTACAGCGATAACAAATGGTCAATAGGTGGTAACGATCGGTCACGATGAAAATATCCACAACTGTTTAACGATGGCGTGACAACAAATAATAATTCGGTGAGCAATAGGCGGACGGTCGCTTTGCAATGCAGCGCCTGGGGAGAATGTTCTTGTTAAATCGAGCCTAGTTGGGTGACGCCACACAAAGTCAACGATTGCCCCGCCCCCCATTCTCACACACGCAAGGAAATTAATAATTGTCACACTTGATGAATGAGAGCCATACATGTGCCTGTGATATACTGAGAAAGGTGTCGGACAACGTGCATGCGATCGCTATGTAAGAATTATTTTATTATTACGATGATAATCATAAAGTGATGATTATTTAAATGCCAAACTGCAGCGACATATTTCAAGTGGTGCGCATTCAGGGGCTTTCTTTAGCTTTTTTTGTCTTAAAAATGTTTGCAGGCACTGAATGAGCAATGCACTGTGCACAAATAAATAAATAAGCAGTAGGGGGGTGATAATGACTCTGAACAATCGCATGCGCCGATTGAAGGTTTCTGCGTGTGTTTATTTATTTAATTTTGCCGGCTGAATTTTAATGACTTGCCACATTTATTCGCCATTATGAACGTGTCGTACAAATGCGATCGGCGACTGCGGTTCCAAGAATAATTCCTTTCGAGGCCACAGATCCGCTCCCTGAACGTGTGGGTGGCTGCGTGCATCTACTTAGGACTTTTCACGTAATTCACCAGCGATATTTGTTGCCGTCTATCTACCAGCGTTTCTCCTTAGTGGCGGTCCATTGGCCAGGTGAGGCCTGTAAAGTCTCTTGGGTGGCTCTCCGAGCTGTGGAGTCATGGGCTGCTTAGACATGAGATGATTCAGATCGGTGAGATGCAAGCGATAAACAAGAGGGTGGCGAGGACAGATCTGTGGACAAGATGATTCGCGAGTTGAAGGGAAGCTAAACGGAGCTGAGAAATGAGAGAGTTGTGGACAACGGTTACAGATTCGCGGTTGAACTTAGTGAATCGCTTTACGCACGTGGCAAGCGACGTCACTTGAACCCCGTCAGCACACGCTGGCCGCATTGTGTGCTTCGTCTGGCAAATCTAGCTGGCGAGAAACCCTGCTTTATCAGCAGCCTTACCTGGGCCCTCTCGCGAGATATATGAATGTCTTGGTTGGGGCCCCCCAGGCCTCTTATGACAGACCCCCATCTCTTTTTAAACACAGCGGCTGTGTGAAGGGTTTTTATGTATATTTATATATAACGTTATTCTCGGGCTTGCTTTTTGTTGTTGTGTGTGCGGTGCAAACTCCGAGCGCTTTGCGAGTGCAATGCAAGGTCATGTGTGCTTAAGTGCCAATTCCTGTACCCCCTTCGCTTCACGCGGAGACATTTAAACGGCTATTTCTTGAAGGCTATTAACTCGAGCAATTTGATTTTCCTGGAGGCACAACTGGACGTTATGGGGCTTTCCGCGTCCTTACCCCATTTATGGCGGTAAGCCTTTTGTAGTTAAAGAGGCTATTGAGATACAGATGTGCGTAATAACTCCGTCGATTTTTAGC